GTTGCCCCGGTTGTCCCCAGGTGTCCCCAGGTGTGTCCCAGGTGTGTCCAGGTGTCCCCAGGTGTCCCCAGGTGTGCCCAGGTGTGTCCCGGGTGTGTCTGGGTGTGACCCAGGTGTGTCCAGGTGTGTCCCAGGTGTCCCCAGGTGTGCCCAGGTGAGGTTAAAACGGGGTTCAGGTGTCCCCAGGTGTGTCCAGGTGTGTCCCAGGTGTGTTCAGGTGTGTTTTTGGTGTGTCCCAGGTGTGTCTGGGTGTGTCCAGGTGAGGTTAAAATGGGGCCCAGGTGTCCCCAGGTGTCCCCAGGTGTCCCCAGGTGTCCCCAGGTGTCCCCAGGTGTCCCCAGGTGTCCCCAGGTGTCCCCAGGTGTCCCCAGGTGTCCCCAGGTGTCCCCAGGTGTCCCCAGGTGTCCCCAGGTGTCCCCAGGTGTCCCCAGGTGTCCCCAGGTGTCCCCAGGTGTCCCCAGGTGTCCCCAGGTGTCCCCAGGTGTCCCCAGGTGTCCCCAGGTGTCCCCAGGTGTCCCCAGGTGTCCCCAGGTGTCCCCAGGTGTCCCCAGGTGTCCCCAGGTGTCCCCAGGTGTCCCCAGGTGTCCCCAGGTGTCCCCAGGTGTCCCCAGGTGTCCCCAGGTGTCCCCAGGTGTCCCCAGGTGTCCCCAGGTGTGCCCAGGTGAGGTTACAATGGGGTTAAAATGGGGTTCAGTCGTTTTTGGGGTGTTTTTTGGGTGTTTTTGGCCGTTTTCGGGCTGTTTCTGGCTGGTTTGGGGGTGGTTTTGCGGTGGTTTTTGGCCATTTTTGGGGTGTTTTCAGCCGTTTTTGGGGTGTTTCTGGTTGGTTTTGGGCTGTTTCTGGCTGTTTCTGGCCGTTTTGGGGTGTTTCTGGCTGTTTCTGGCCGTTTTGGGGTGTTTCTGGCTGTTTTTGGGCTGTTTCTGGCTGTTTTCTGGGCGTTTCTGGGGTGTTTCTGGCTGGTTTTGGGCTGGTTTTGGCTATTTTTGGGCTGTTTCTGGCTGTTTTTGGGGTGTTTTCAGCCGTTTTTGGGGTGTTTTTTGGGTGTTTTTGGCCGTTTTCGGGCTGTTTCTGGCTGGTTTGGGGGTGGTTTTGCGGTGGTTTTTGGCCATTTTTGGGGTGTTTTCAGCCGTTTTTGGGGTGTTTCTGGTTGGTTTTGGGGTGTTTCTGGCTGTTTCTGGCCGTTTTTGGGTGTTTCTGGCTGTTTCTGGCCGTTTTGGGGTGTTTCTGGCTGTTTTTGGGCTGTTTCTGGCTGTTTTCTGGGCGATTCTGGGGTGTTTCTGGCTGGTTTTGGGCTGTTTCTGGCTGTTTTCAGGGCGTTTCTGGGGTGTTTCTGGCTGGTTTTGGGCTGTTTTTAGCCGTTTTTTGGGGTGTTTTTGGGGTGTTTCTGGCCGTTTTTGGGGTGTTTTCGGCCGTTTTCAGCCATTTTTGGGTGTTTTCGGGGTGTTTCTGGGGTGTTTCTGGCCGTTTTTGGGGTGTTTTTGGCCATTTTTGGGGTGTTTCTGGCTGTTTTCGTGGTGGTTTTGGCCGTTTTTGGGTGTTTGTGGGCTGTTTTTGGTCATTTTTGGGTGTTTTCAGGGTGTTTCTGGGGTGTTTCTGGCCGTTTTTGGGGTGTTTTTGGCCATTTTTGGGGTGTTTGTGGCTGTTTTCGTGCTGGTTTTGGCCATTTTTGGGTGTTTCTGGGGTATTTTTGGCCATTTTTGGGTGTTTTCGGGGTGTTTCTGGCCGCCCTCACCTGTAGACGGAGGCCAGGGGTCCGTGGGCCAGGCTGAGCCCCCCGAAGAGCCAGAGGGTCTCGTTGGGGCCGGGCACGAGGCTGTGGCCCAGGCGGCGCAGGAAGCGGCTCGGGGAGTCCTGGGGGGAAATCCGGGAATTTCGGGGCAAAATCCGGCAATTTGGGGGAAAATCTGGGAATTTGGAGGGAAATTTGGGGGGTTTGGGGGG